TGTTGTTGCTGACTACTTTTACCAGCGCCTTGATTTCCGGGCTGTTGCTTTTGTTGCCCTTGGTGACCCCCCGCCGACCTTTGTTGGCCATCTTGCTGTCCTCCACCAGATTGTTGCTGTTGCTGTTTTGGTTGGTTTCCCCGGGCTCCTTCTTGCCTAGGTTGCTGGTGTTGTTGTGATAGCCCGCTCCGGCCTTCATTTCCACCTCGAGTATTGCCTCCGCTCTGTTGACTTTGCCCTTGCGGTGGTCTTTGCTGTCCTCCGTCACGCCATTGCTGTTTTCCTTGTTCTTTGTTTCCTCCACCGCTGGGCTGTTGTCCTCGCTGCCCATCCTGATTAGCGTTCCCAGCATCACCTTATAAATGAGAACCGCAATTTCGTTAAAAGACAAGGCAAGAATGGAATCACAGGGAAGAGGAAGGGGCACAGGGAAGGATACATTTTCCACACGATGCAAAAATTTGATGTTTCTTGTTCCCACAACTTCAGAAGTTTTAAGAGAAAAATTTTTAATTTTTTTTTTGGAAATGTGAGTATAACGAGTGAACTACATTCCTATATATCTGTTAACTTTTATATCATTCAGCTTTACGTTTGCAAATGTCCAAATAGCTGTGTATAATTCAATAATGACCTAAAATGCTGAATAGCGTTGCCTAAATAACGAGTTTCTAAAATACTTTTTTTTTTAATTTCGTTTACATTATTTGCATTACGTTGATGTATCAACTTTTTTAGTTGGCTTCGTCTTTTCCTTTACTTCGACAGAGGAAGGGGAGCTATAAGGTAAAAAACGGTACTTCCCTTACTTTTCTACACTGATGAGTCATTTTTTTTTCTAACGGATAATGACACACAAACACGTAAGCACTAGTTCGTCTAACTACCCAAAAATGCACTTAATAAATTTTATTTTACCTGATTGTTTCTTTTGTTTTTGTTCTGGTTGTTGCTGACGTGGATTTTCCTGTGGTTGGTTCTGTTTATTATCAGAATCCTGATTTTGCTTTTGTTCTGCAAAACATAATTTTATGATCAGATTACCATAACTATCAATTTACTTACTATTTTTCTTCCCCATATTATGTTTTCGCTTCACTCAGATAAAAAAATGTATATAATTGAATGTAAAACTTCTTCAACGGTTGACACATATATCAATGTATTTTTAAAATAATTTCTCAAAATTTCACTCGTCTACGTTGTTTATCTATTAAAGCAGAAAGTATATTAGAAGTCCATCACAATTCTGTAAGCGAATAGTACTTTGCAGCAAATGTTTATTTTGTGATAGGTGCCAACCACATAAAGTGTAACGTCTTTGCTCGCCTCGCTCGCTTATGAGCCTGCATAAAATAAAAGCACAAAGTCATGTTCGATTAACTACCATCGTTTGAGAAATGACAAAAAATCAAATTATGCAAACAACACAGGGGTTGAAAAGTAAACATATAGCGAGAGATAGCACGAGACGTCCTATCTTTAATGCCCTACACCACTTCACTTAATACATATATTCATATAGCTACGTTTCGAAGTAGGGTGTTATGTGGGAAACGGTCGAAAAATGATCCAATCTGAACAATTTCCAATAGCTTTGCTTCTTGATCTAAAACATGTCGGTGTACCAAATTCAATCAAAATTGCGACCTGCCGACCGAACATAAGAAAACGAAATGGGCAAACAGACAGTCATTTCGAAGCGGTCGGTGGAAACTATAAAACAATATATGGTATAAATCAACCCATCAAATGATAAAACGAAGATATATAAAACGCTCAGAATAACATAATGTGAAAACAAAATTTGATTAATTTGAGAAATTGTGAGAAATTCAAATCATATAATACAAAAAGCTTGAAAATAAGGAATTTAGAATATTAAACAATTTTTAAGTTTGAAACAAATAGTTTTTGCAGCTTGCTTTTCATCTTTTGAGCGCTTTTAGTTGTTGTACCGGGGAATATGAGAGTTTTCCCTGAGCAATATGCCTTTACAAAACAGTAATGCATAAGTTTTCGTGCATTGTTTCAGGAGAAGCGGTGTAGGGTATTTTAAGCTCCGTCTTGTCTGACTATAGTGTTTTTTACGTCGTAGACAGGACCTATTTTTAGTTTTTTACTTAATATAGGACCTTAAGGTTTGCTAATCCCGATGTTGTCGCATAAAAAGCTGCTCAACTTTTCGTGCTTCATATTCCTAATAAGTTGCACGCGTTTGATATGCAATAAATAGTACGCTTTGTATATGCTCGTTTGTGGTTCGAAAACAGCTGTAGGTTAACAAACTGCCGAATATGGCAACATTACAAATTTTATTTATTTATTTATATACACACATAACCACTACAAGGGCTAATTTAAACGTATTGAAGTAACTAAAACTACAATTTGCACTAAATAAGGAAGGTTTACACTTAACGCTATATACAAAACATACATACAAATTCAAAAATATATACACTTTGTTGATATTGTAAACTTTATCCATATGAAAAAATAAGTTAAGGTAAGCGAATTGCTTGCAATGCATATTTATAATAAAGCTAAACGCTTGATTGATATTTCATATTCATGATATTGATGTTCATGTTCATGTTGTGATTTGCTTGAATGATGCACAAGTACGGGAATATGCAAGTTTCTAAAGTGATTAAATGTTCCACTACGTCTACAAACGAACTAGAAAGCAAAATGATGAATTTAATGGCGAATTTACGTCACAACGAAAACTTGATTATAAGATCCTTTGGCATAGTTGGGGAGCAATTTTAAAAAAAATTCATTTTGGTGTAGAAAATTTCGGCTATCTATCTTTCATAATTTGTGAATAATGAGTAAAGACCGACAACTTTTTGCTTAAAAAAACGGAAATGCTTTCATTTAACGGTTTACTGCGGGCAACTGCTCTAATAAATTTGGGCAATTTTCAATATCAATCTGTTTGTAGAAATTTCCAACGTTTCTGCCAAATTTGATATCGACATTTTCATTTCTGTGACCAGGAGAGTGTCAACAACACGCCCAACATAAGCACATAGCAAGAAAGACATGGCTTAATTAATTCAGAATTTCAAACTGATCAAGAAAAGATACAGTTTTTAGCAGAATGCGAAAATCATAGTGGTGGCCAAGATTCGACCTTCGTCGAATAGAACTTTTTTACTTGCTTTTTTTTTTTTTCATTCAAACATCCATACATTATAAATTTATTTACAAAGTATATGGAAAATAAATAAATATCTGATAGCAAAATGTTTTGCCTCTATATAAAATTTTTTAATTTTTTTATTATTATAATCATAATGAAAACCAGCGACTTCTTGTACATCGTCAGCATCTGCTAATACTGCTTCATGGCCCGCCGTCTAATGCGCTGGATTTGATGGATTTAGTATTATAATGGTTATATTGATAATGCCGACTGTAGAACGCATAATATATAATAATAGTGAGCTAAGTTAATGCAGTAAGAGCAAAAGTAAAATACGACAGCGTTTCTCCTGATAAGATGGATTTATGATTTACACATACAGCCACTGAAGCGTTGAGACAGGTATGGGCAATCGCCGGCCCGTTATATTTCAATTTGCTCGCATATGCAATGCTGCAAATGAATTGTGGCTGCCTTCACTACCGGAGTTTGTTCTGCCAGTGATATGAAAATTGAAATTGACCCGTTGATAAAAAAAGTTTCCCCATCTCTCCATTAAGCTGTAGTAATGATTTAAAAATGGTGATATGTATTCATTCAAAGGGAGGATCCTAGGCGTGGATCCGTTTACTTGCGAGAATTTGCCATATCGCGACATACCAGATAGCAAGCCTTACGTTTTTAAATGAATTGCACAGTTGAAGTTTAAAAATATGTGAAGATTAAGTTCATTATCGTGAAATTAGTTATGCTAAGCTAGTATTGAGAATGACTATCACTTAACATTGTAATTTTTAAATACACGGCTCATTAGCAGAGCAAACTTCTCGACCGATCCTACTTTATCCATTTGCCTGTTTTGGATGTTTTTTTCTAAATCACTATGCTTTGTTCATAATTTAATGGTCACACAAAGCGGCAAAGCAAAATAAATTATAAATTATCTATATACTATAACTAAATCATGGAGGGAGAATATTTTATTTTTTTTTTATTTTTTTTTTGTGTAATTTTTTATTTATTTTTTTTTTTAACCGCGTGAGTGGCCGAGTAGGCAAGAGTCTTGACTAGCAACTCAATAGTCGCGGGTTCAAACCTCAAGTGCGGTAGAGTTTTTAATAAAAGCCGAAAGCCTTAGATGCTAGTGCTTTTAAGAGTTTAGTCTTAAAATTTATTCTCTGCTTAATTTATTTATAAAAAAATGTATAATATTTTTTAATTTTTTAAAATTTTATTTTTATATGCATTCCTTAGTAGTATGAAAAGAATTTTTATGCTTCGACAATTGATCAGATTCAACAACCGTTTGCTTTCTCTCGAGCGACTCGCTATGTATAGAACTATGAAGATTTGCACAATGATGTGACATTTTTTTTTCAATCTTTTTTCTCTAAGATAAAATTGCTAGACGTAGAAGTTTCGAGTGCATTCTAATGTAATTCCCTTACTTGCCTGTTTAGTTGATTTTCTCATGTTTTGTTTGCATTTGAATAATTCAATAAAGTAAACTAACAGACTTTCACAGCCTATAAATTTATGAGCCCTAGATGTATATTACATTTCCACAGTTAGGCATGCCTCTAATATATTTGGCATATATATCAAGTATCAAAAGCTTTATCTCTTTTTTTTTGTTTTGTTTTTATTTTTCATAATTGCAAGAAAAAAGCAAAAGCCTCCTCCTGTTAATAGAAAATGATACCATATAGTAAGTGCCTATGATGCCTGTTATATCAAATAATTGCATCAAAACGTTATAACTTTAAAAATATTTTATTAAATAAATAAAATCGTTTGCAATCTAGTTACAAGCAATAACATATTATTATGACAAATATTGTATAAATAAATAATATTGTATAAATAAGCAATAGCGGCTAACAGACGCAAAGTCATCCTTTGACATGACGCTCGGTTGGACGTTGCAAGAGTTGTTTAAGGATACACTGTTTGCAGCTCGAATGTGACGTAGCGCTGCCGCATTCAGATATAGAACTTTCTGATTTCCACTTGGCAGGCGCTTTCGAAATGCAGAAAATGATGCTTGGATTGCTGTCAAACCAATGCTGTTCCTTCGACACGTTACCGTCATGCTGCCAGAAAGATGACGAAATGTTGTAGATAGTGATCGAAGAGATTTTGATTAATAATTTTTTCTCAATAAATGTTTTTTTCAAGTGAAAAAAATGATCAAAATACATGCGTTAAAAGCTAAGCTAGCAAAGTGCAAATAAAAAAATTAAAAAAAAAAAAAAAAAAACGCGAATTGCAAAGAGAAAAAGAGTAAAAAATAAGTTAATAATAAAATAACGTATATTTCACGTGCAGCACTTGAATCCTATATCAAGGTTGATAATTTAATTTTTAGCCTATAATAATGAAAAGAAGATTAAAAACAGTTAAAGATAAAATAAAAATAATTTTTTCAAGTCATAGTGTATATGTGTTTATTATTGAATTATATGTAATAACTTGAATGAAACTATCTATCTATATAAGTTTGTATTGTATTCTGTTCAGTTTTCAGAAAAATATTTTAACAAATTATTGTACATGGTACAGCTTGAAAAATGCTGATTAATCAATCAGTCATTTGTTCATTCAGCCGTTCGTTAAGCCGGTTTGTTTAAATATCGAAATATATATATATATATATATATATGCACACACACTCGTACTTAATTTTTATTAATTTTTCGTTCGCATAGTTCATTTCAATCCCCTTCATGCTGTAAATAATTGTGTTTGGCAATTTGAAAAACTGTTAAATAAAGTTTCACGTAAAGCCGATAGAGAAATGCTTATGAGAAAGCTTAACCATTGCTAAGTCCGCAACGATGCTCGTATAGTGTTGAATACTCAAAAATATTATCTGTCGATTATTTGAGTTTTTCAATCGACTTGCTGCTCACCCAACACAAACGAAATATAGTAAATGTCTTAGAATAAAAAAAATTTTATATTATACTCTGACGCATAAATATCTATACCGCACATTCATTAATACATTCATTTAAGCAAAAGTTGTCCGAAAGTTTAGGTTAAATAAAATCTTAAAAGGTCTTTATATATATGTAATAATTCTTTATTTCTATATGCAATTGCTTTAGGTATCTATTCAAGATATTATAAAGAAATATATTTAAATATTTTCGACCATTTTTAACGATCAACAATGATTCGAACGTTCGTTCGCCTTTAATACTGGATTAACCTCAAAGTCTTATTTGTATAATATATGCAGTTGGTGCGTTGACGTAGGCACATTTCAAATTTCTAATGTCAAATATTTCATTTATAATAAAAACTATTGCTATATCTGAACATTATTATGTCAGGACATTTCAACACTTAAAACGATGTCAAAATATTTATCCTTGCAAGATATTTTGGTGCTTTTTTCGATATATTTTTTTAAATATATTGAAAAATAATTATAATGAATGAAGTCTTACTATTAGTACATAAGGATTATAGTTTTTTTTTTTTTTTTATTATTTAGGCTACATATTCTAGTGGAAGGTGTATTTGTGGAAGTAGGTGCAATTTGATTTTTGTATGTAATTTTTTTGGCGAATACAAAATAATCCTCTGTCTCTCAATCGGCTTATATAAGCAAGTTGACTAGTTATTGTCGTTTTGCTTTCAAATCATTGATTTTCAAATTGATTTGTTTTTTTTACAGGTTGATCGATAAATTGCAATTAAACCTCGAATCGTGTGGGACGTCTGTCTGCTAAACATTTAAAAGTAAATGCGATCGATAAACTATTACAAACTTTAAAGTCTTTTAAAGCTTCTTATTTTACTTATGCTCGTGGACTTTCGGTGTTGACTAGTCCACAATTGCTGACAACGTATCCCAGTCATCGGCCCAATAACATCTGGATCGCTCAATGGCAACGCTTGTTCCTTGCACATTTCCCGTTTGCTTTGAGAGCCTGGTTTTTACGAGCCGGATAACGTTTGTCTTGCGTTTATCTTGTCTTTCTGCTATTTCCAAGTCATGAATTTTCCGCCTCTCTTCCCCCTATCAATTTTTGCTCAATTCCATTTCCTCTATACCATATGACGCGCCCATTTTTTAATATTGCGTTTCCTACTTGCAGTTACAATTAAAGCGTCGCCAAAGGATATTGGTTTTATCGGCCCGGCAGCTATGTCCAGCTCGATATTACCGCTAACAGGGTTCCTTTGCAATGCTGCGTCCATTTGTTCGCTGATTGTAAAAACATTGAACATATAAATGCGAAATTTTCGATACAACAATTGATGTTCATTTTTATACCCACCACTGTAACATGGGGGTATAGTCTGATGCTTCAGAGACTTAATAAAGTACATATATACATATATGTTCCTGATGAGCGTGAAATTCTCAGTTGGTTTAGTTATGTCTGTCCGTCTGTGTGGTGAGTGCTGTTAGCACTCTCCTGGTAGCAAAAATTAAGATATCGACTTCTTATTTAGTAGGAACATTGGAAATATTCTGCACCCAGGTTGCTATTGAAAATAGTCCAAATTGGTGGAAGCGAAAGCATCCAGTGGAGCGATTACTCTCTTCTTAATAATACCAGCGATATGGGTATCAAATTAAAGAACTTGGAGAGTAAAATGTTAAGAGCACAGTGGTGGGTATGCAAAATTCGGTTTTCGCCGAATATAACTTTCTTACTTAACTATGAGTTTTTCCGATATATTTAATTATTATTTAAATAGTTTTAGCCAATAATGATAATTGACTTGTGGATGCATATATAAGGAAAATCAAATCAATATTGCGGAGAAAGTTACTTTATTTTATTTGTTAAGCTAAAACGATAATAAAAAATGGGAATGAGATGGGAAGGAGAAATTTTGATAATAATAAAATAAGATTTAGATATCATTATCTAATGATATGTGAATCAAAAATTTAACTAATCGTTTACAATTAGAAAATGTTAATCATTTCAATGATGAACCATAACCAAGGGAGAAGAGTGTACAGCATGGACAATTGGTGCTGTGGCTACAGCAGCTGAATACGTTTGAACTAATGGACTATGCACGGTATGAACTGGATGGACTGATGTATGATAAGTAGTCTTTACGGCTGGAGCCAAAACGGGATGGACAACGGATTTACTATGTACCTGTGTAAGACTTTGATGGGACACGGCTGATGGAGCATTATGTACCACAGTACCGACATTTGTCACCACTGGTTCATGAACAACGTGATGTGTTTCAATCAAGCCAGCCATGGCAATTATGTTTAAGTAACTCAAAGTAGCAAATATGATGAACTGTAAGTATTGCAAAAAAAAAAAAAAAAAATTGTATTAAAGAGTATTAAAGAAATTATATGAAAAACAAAACAAAACTCACCAATTTGTGCATTTTTTCTTTTTTTTCTTTTTTTTTACAATGATGTTAACTGAAGATTGAAGAAGTAGCAACTGATGTTTAATGGTTTCGACAGCGCAACTTTTATAGGCAAAGAACTGCTCAAAAATTAGGTCGATCCATGTCAGCGTTAAATATTGGTAACATTTCAAAATACTCTATTATCAATCATCCTGTGGTCCACCTTGAGTGCAATAAACAACACGCAACAAGATAAACGAATGCTAAGTCATTTGCTTATAGACCTTTTGTTGCATTGTATCTTGTACGCATACAATATTTAAGTTTGATCATCTTCGCGCATAATAGCAGCTCTTGCAGCCATAAATTGATTTTGACCGGTCGCGTGTCAATGTTGTTGTTCTTTTTTTTGTTTTTTGATGTAATGAAGGTCGGACACTGGATTTTAAATGAAAATAAGATGTCTATAATAGTTTTTATTACATTCTTCCATTTCGACGATTGACTTCAATTTAGTTGGAATTGCCTGGCTTTCTATATATATATATATATATATAATTATATATATATATAATATAATATTTTTCAAATTCTATAACAATATTAAAGCTGATGATGGTGATCAATTTCTGGCTGTATTTTGCGCTTGATTAAGTTATAGGTTACGTGCGGTGTCAATTTAATATTTCGTCTGGTTTTTCTTTTTTTTTTTATTGTATTTTTTTTTTTTATTATTTTTATATTAAGAATTTTTTATGTCAAGAACATATGTGTATATAAGCTCATGAACCTAACAGTAGTTGATATTAGTGTGCAAAATAATTTCATCGAAAATGTTTAGATTTGTGAGTCGTGTAATCGTTTTTGGTTTAAGCGATTCCTTAAATTAATTTCTAATGTATTATCCATTTAGATTATTGCTCTTCTAAGTGTTTCCTGTTTTATGGCGCATGTTTGCGATGGATTCGTTGAAACACATCATCTTCTTGATAAGCCTGTCGTAGCCAGTGTAGGAGCTATCGTGCATTCAGGTCCATCGCATGTTTCCCAGCAAAGTGTCTCTCAAGTTCATAGCAAAGCTGTAATTCATCCTGCTCTGTCACCGGCAGTGACAACAAGAGTTCGTACGAGTACAATGCCGGTGATTAAGGCGTACGATTCATTATCTCAGACATATTCTGTTCCATTACCCAATTCGGCTGGACACCATTGAAAATCACAAAATGAAACGTTTAATATTTTAGCTGAATACCGTGTCCTTTAAAGGCTTCTTGTTGTTGTCGAAATTTTTAGTATACAATTGAAATTTTGCATTTTTAATAAAATTTGCTTTAAAAAATTGTAAAATTTAGAAAGAAATTTCTATTAAATACATACGACGGAATTACTTTTTTTTAATACCAAGACATAAAGGATAGAGAAGCGCTTTTTTTTATTTATCATTACTTTTGTTTGTTCATTATAACACATTCATCAGACGTCACAAAGTCCCTGAGTAGGGGAAACAAAACAATCGACGTATTGTCAAGTTTGTTTTCCTATTACGATCTAAAGGGTTCGCATAAAAAAATGTTCTTGACCATAATTCTTTTCCTATAACCTTCAGGTTATTTTTGAAGACAAGCAAATCTTCTCAAATATTAGTTTATGTAATGCTGTAACTGCTGGAGTAGTCACTGTCGAAAAATTACCCGTAAATAATAGAAAATTTTTTGATTTTCTACGTAAAGGAGTTGGGAGGGGAAAGGGATACTTGCCGACTGAAACGTAAAGGATCCTTTGAAATGATGCATGGTGAGGTATTTGATTATACTTCTATGCTTTCTTTAATCTTCTATAGATTATTTGTGAATTATCAGAGATTATTTTATTATTTCCTTCCGTTTTGCTTTACACAACTTGTTACCAAATGTGGGTCTGTTGATGTCAGTAGTAGGTGATCGCTTTCGGCACAATCAGACTGGTCCTTTTCGGGAAGATAATCGCGTAATTGAAAACCAGCTTGCACTTTTGTATTTAGCAGTTTTTGGCGAACAGTTGCGAAACAACAGCGAAAGCTAAATTTTTTCATACGTGATTATCGTCCTGCGGTTAACGCAATTTTTGTTTCTTATTATTGCAATTTAAGCAACAATGGTAAAACTTTTGAAAAGCTCAAGTATATTTTGCCTACCTTTAGGATTTCTAAATAAATTCATTATATATAATAAACAAAGAAGTTGCATACGAGTTTTTTTTTTTTTTCTTTCAAAATTTAAATCAGAATTTATTCGAAGTTGCATACAAATATATTTATGTTAAACCTAACCAGGAATTTTGTTTTCCTTTTTTTTGTTTTGTTTTTTTTGTTTTTTTTTTTGTTTTAATATAAACCATTGAACACAGATATGAGTTAAAATGAGAAAAAAAAAAAAAAAATTCTACTACATTATATGACAAGTACACAAATTTTTACAATAAAGGTACACGATGGGTGTTTCGAAACTCAAGCGAAAACGAAATAATTTCAAAGTGTAGTGTGGCGGGCAATATTAGATGGAAAGTTCAAAATTTTGAAACTAGCAAGTTTTAACCAACTACGACGGGGCCGTGAGGATAGAAGGGACCAGCCACGAGAGGGAAAGGATGCACCACCTTGGTAACAACAGGAGCGGGAAGAACAGCAGGTCCGACCACTTTAATAAACGGAGGATGAGCAGGATATACCGCTGGTCCGACTACTTTAACCACAGCTGGACCAGGAGCAAATACAGCCGGGCCAAAAAAACCGGGACGGGCAGCAGCCAAGCTCAAAAGCATAGCGAACACCAACTGTATGAGTATAAAAATAATTAATTATTAATGAATATTTTATTTATTTTATTTATTATTGCAGTTCTGTAATCCTTACGTATTTGAACATTTTTATTAATTTATTTATTTTTACTTTAGCTCGGAATGCTTATGTTAACTGTTAAAGGGCTTAGAACCGTTTGTTGTTAACTGGCAATTAGAAACGTTCTTTTATTTATAATTGATTTGATATATGCTTACACGGTATACGCGGTTGCCACACACTCAGCCTGCATTGATTAGATGGTTGCATCAGCCAATTAGCATTAAAGCTATATGAATAAACGGTCGCCTGTATTCCGAGCAGTTGTTACAGATTTTGTTATTTCTGCCGTTGTTGTTACCAAACGCGTACTAGATTCTATTTGAAATAAAAAAAAAAAAAAAAAAAAACCAAAAAAAAAAAAAAAAAAAGCAAAAAAATGTTGTTGGCGTTGGTGCAGCCGCTGTTGTTGCCGCTATTGTTATTGTTGCTCTTGAACTTAACTTTTGCTTAGTGTTTTCAACCTTCCGGGCAACCAGTTCTATTGTCTGCTCTAATCTTTCATTGTTTGTGCAAGTCCGCACGAATTGTTGCCATACGTGTGTCGGTGGTATTTCGATTATTATAATTACTTGTTGATTATTTGTTGTTGCTTTCCTTTTAATGGTAGTGTTTAGTTTTAATGTATTCCAACATTAATTAAAACTTATTTTCTCAATTATTTAATAGATTAAAATGACTTTGCATTCTATTTTCAATTTGTTCATAAATTAACAAAATAATGATAGAAAAGAGCAAAGAGTTAAAGAACAGCTACAGCACACTGATGACATTCATGTTTATTCATTTATCTCGCTCGGTTATCTGTAATATATAATAATGGATGACGTCTTAGCGCTTTAATAGATTTTAGTGGTACATCTGTTCGTCTTTTGTCCATACATCTGCTGTAACCGGATTCATTTACTTTACACTTTATCGCAAACATTCATTCACTGACATGACATTACTTTTTGTTCTCTGTGAGCTGTTTTTTTTTTTTTTTCTTTTCGTAATTATTAGATTTGCGTAAGAAACTATTTTAATTAATGTAAATCGAAAATGATCTAGAATTCAATTACATATTTTGAAATTTGCCGATAACAGGGTTCGGAAAACTTACTTTATGAATAAATCAATAATGCAAACTATTTGCTGAGAAGATTCGTCAGTTCAGATGAGCACAACACTTGCACAACACTGATGAAACGATGGAAAGAAAATACATGGCGTCTTTATGCTTAGGGTTCGCTTAAGCCCTAGTTTACGGAATTGTCATCGCAACAGCGAATTCGAGGTTGATGCTCGATTTCCAGAAGCATAGTAGAATTTAGATTCGATACTTTAGCCATCGTAGGTTCCATTCTATCATCTATCATCTATGTCATAGAAAACTTGTTTCTTTCACGTTTTAACGATCCATTCATTCGTATCTAATATGTCTCAGTAATTGATCATTGATTTTGATCTAATACATTTGCAGCGAAAATTTGATGGTATATCAGACACTTTCCGCATCGTAAATTCGCCACACTTTCGCTTCGCGACTGTCAAACTCAATCTCTATCATATGCATTGATAGGAAAAATAGTAAATATTCGCTGCGAATACATCAATGCCTGAACACCTTTAGCAATTTGATGGAACATATAAAATTTTTACTGAATGAAAGTAAGTAAACAGTGCTGGAAGTTCCCAATTGAAAGTAGGATCGATGCATTTTAGACGTAGACAACGGATCTGATAGCTAGGAGGCATTGACATGAAATATTTTTTTTTGCATAATTATCGGACAACGGAACTTTATCACTTTCAAATAGATGATAGATGAAAGAGAGTCCCCGACTACTTGTAGAAAGTGAAAGAAAGATTGTATGCCTATTTAGGTAGGACAGGCTGCACATCAACTGCTGCGCCCGTAAGTAAAAAATATCGAACGGGGCTATCAAATAGTATTCTTCTTGAACTACTTAATTCAGCGATAGGGATTGATTACGTTACACGCCATCCGTTGATAAGCAAGAATGAATACGTTTTACCACTTGTTCAACGGATCAGATTGTAACATTTTCGTTTTTTCCCTTTTCTTCTATCGTCTATGTCGTTTGACGAAAAGTCCCCGATCAACCAACGTCGTTATATTTTATAGTTCAGTTTAATAACATGTATTATCAGCTATTTTTAATGGCCTACTAAAATTGATTGGATTGTATGATGTTATCTACAGAGGTCTAAATTTTGTTGAATTTCGATCGTTCAACTTGAAAAAATTTCTCGCACGTGAAGTTTCATAAAAAACCTTTTTTGAATATATATTCAAGAAGAAAAAAATATAAATGAAGGCGTAGTAGTTTTCGCAAAAATATATTTTTGCTTTTTTTTTAGAAGATCCTCTTAACTGCATGTCTAATATTAATTAAAATTTCAGATACGTAAGACTTTTGAAAATTCGGTCGGATTTTGGTAAATATATTTTTTTGAAAAACCATATCAAAACTAAGCGTCTGTTTTGCCTGTTTTAGTAAAGACTCCTATATGAAGTTGAAATTTAAAGTTAAAAGTTTAAGAATTAATTATGGATGAGGTCAGATGTCTTTAAGTGTTTAACGTGGATACATTACGCGAAGACTTAACCCCGGGCTCAAGGCCCCGAGAATGGGAAGTTCCTGCTTTCTCGAGAGAAGCGTATGAGGGCGGGGCCTACCTTGAGCCTCTGTCCTTGCTTGGGTCAGACAACTTCACACCCACCGGAGGCTCGTCCCGTGATTTGAAGCAACTACAGCCACCATGAAACTACCGAAATGGGCCGTTCTCACTATCAGGCCGTAGCTAAAAGATTGTTTCGCGGGCTCCTTAAAGAAAAAATAATAAAAGCCTGCGATCAGGCTTTGCATCAGTACTCATACAACCTAAAACTCGCTGCACAAGAAGTCGCACAGATAACGAACCAGTTAATGCAATGCGCTTGGACATGGTATTCTCACTGGGCATAGGGGGGCCAATTCGAAAAAACATAGATTCGGATAGAGTAGTGGTGGTGGCCTTTCGCTAGAAATTTTTAGATTCGCCATAATATACTTTTGGAATGTTGGTCTTGAATTGTTAGTCGGTTGTACGGGATTATTTCTATTGATTAAAATAAAAAACTGATTAAAAAAATGTAAAAATTATTTTTGTTTGTAACGAACTCATTTTGTTTCAAGTATTCGAACTGAATTGCAATTTAGGTATGATTTCGTAACCTGCTATTAAGATATATGATTTTCTTCACCTCTTAGTTTAGATAACATTTATATCATTAGACAAACGGTTATGTTTTAAATAACATGATTTATTGACAATTTTATACATGTTTTCTCAACTTTAAGTTAACGACAAGTTTAAGTACAAGATAAAAATTACTTTTAGTCGTTAGCGAGTAATAGACGGACAGAGAGAGAGAAAGAGAGAGAGAGATAGAGAGAGAGAGAGAGAGAGGGAGAGAAGCAATACTAATAAATTACTAAATCAATCTGGCGGATACAAGCCAGTTAGAGAGATATAGTTTTGTGTCGAGGTTTAAAAATGCTCTGTAAAAATTAATTATAATAATTTTTATAAATTCATAGAAAATCCTTTCACTTCTCACATAATCAATAATAATAACGATAATGGCGATTAATTATTCTTATAAAAAAAATTTCGAATAATTTACATAAATTAAAAATCTAAAATGGTTGATAGAGATCATTTTCTTCCTGCATTTGCCATAAAACAGATTAAAAGAAAACAAAGGAAAATGTATTCATCATCTTAGATCGAATATCTTGTTTGTATACATTAAGCAATAGGTTTTTTGACTAACATAAAATGTTAAATAAAATTTACTATGCGCTACTATGCGGCAATATATCGCCAATTGTTTGCTATATAATGCAGAAATGCTTTCATTATAAAATTCGTTATAAAGATTGCTTACACAAGCAAAGCTCAGAGTTGCATTTTGAATATTTTTAGATTTTTACTGGTGGTCATCAATTGTCGGAATTTATTTTTTTCAATCAAATGAAGACAAAAGGAATTTATTTAAAAGTAAATTCAATATTCTATGTGCAAATATTTCTATAACGGATTCATTCTCTTCAAGAACATTTATATTATGTTATTTACATGCTCTACATTCAATATATATTTCGAAGCGTTATAAGTATTTGAAAAACTTATAATACTTACTGCAATGGCCATAATTATACCTATCACCGAAGGATGAGGGGCGTATTTTCTTTTCGTTAAAAGATTTGCAACGCCCAGGAAGGAAGACGCTTCACGGATCCCACAAAGTATTCATATTCTTGCGCAGCAATAAATTCTGAATCGACTTAAGTATATCTGTTCATATGGTTTTCGGTGCACAAAAATGAAGCTGACGACTTAAAATTTGGCAGACACTTTGGAAATTCTTGCACGAAGATTGATTTTGAAATGTTTCAAATCGGCTGAAGGATCGATATGTCTACAACTGCTATGTGAAGTAAGGACATCTCCGGCTTTCAAAAGGAATAAAAACTTGATTTGTTGCTCACTACTTATTAACTAGAGGAGATAAATGCACGATAATTTTAAAGTATATTCCACGGGTGATGGATTCGCACTTGTATAAAAGCAGAAGAAATTCGCCACGCCTACTCAATTATATAGTGTGTTATAATTTCATTTGTTTTGTCCTTAAAAACGTTTATAACACACAGAAGCAATCTTCAAAAAACCCATGAGATTTATAAATTCTTGGTCAGTTAAGAATACATATAAGCATGTCTGTCCGTTCATTTGTCGCTGTACGTAGCGGTGTAGTATCCGTGGTAAGCATTCGCCTGATTGAAAAACGCCTGAAAGCTTGCAAAATGTTTTGAAAATGATCCAAACAGATGAAAAGACACGTCTACAACGCTCACACGCTTATGCAACACAAACTGTGAACATCTTTGCTTTGTTCGCTTGTTTTTTTTTCAACACGTATGCCTTATATTCATAAGCCTTACATGCCTTATATGGCTTTTATTCTGAAAATAGAAACAATCTGCCACGCTCACCCATAATTATAGAGAATGAAAATTTAAATATTTTTTTTTCCATATTTTTTTTCGGATCACGATGTGACGGGTATAAAAGATTCG